CACACACACACACACACACACACACACACACACACACACACACACACTCACACACACACTCCCACATAAGGGTCTGCCTGCCAAGCTTGTGGCCTTTCTTTTCCCCACACCCCAGGACAGACAAGCATGTGGTGTGGATTTCTTTCTCCGCTTTATTCGTTAGTTCACTGTGGCCAAATCAGAGCATCATCCTACAGCAATATGATGATAGTCTTGAAATCCCAGCCTTTCTTTCACTACCTGTGAAACCTTGTTCAGGTGACTCGACTTCTTTGTGCCTCAATGTCCTCATCTGTAAAATGGGGACAGCAGTGCCTACCTCACCAGGTGACAGTGGGACAAATGAGAACATAGCTGGAAGGGCCTCCAGATATGGAGAGAGCTCTTAGTAGGTCATGGTACACTCAGGGAGAGAATGGTTGGAATCGGGAGTTTGAAGTGGTAGGTGTTTTTCTGCTCTGGAATCCCTGGACATTTCCCATAACCCTGAAAAACTAATTGTTCAGCAAGAACCATGTCCTTCTCTTCAGTGAGCTAGAGAAACAGGTTGTTTGCTTGATCCTGTGATCTGACAGAAGCATTAAACATTCACATTTGAATATCTGCCTGCTGTCAGCTTCCTAGAACCTCGGTGGCTGTCCTGGGCTAGTTCTAGAATTTCTCCACCGTAGTCAGGTGTGGTGGGGCACACCTGAAATCCCAGTCCTTGGATGTTGGAAACATCAAAAGATGGTTTAAGACACCCCAAGACCAACTTCTCAGCACAAAGGTGATTTACTTGCCCCAGAGTGACAAAGGGCAGAGATAAGGTACAAAGACAGGAGACAGAGGAAGAGGAGAAGGGAACAAAAGAGAGGGAGAAAGGGGGGAAAGGGAGGGGAGAAAGGATGTATGTTGGGGGATGCGGCTCATGATGACAAAGGACTGTCCCTTAATAGAGAGGAGACAGGTGTGGCACCTGGGCAGATGGCACTTTACAAATGTTAAAGGAGAAATCTGTGTTAGGATGAGTTGGTTTGTCTTAAATGGGCATGTTAATTAGGTGAGCCAAGGGGGGCTTTTGATTGCTGGACTTCAATACTTTGATGGCTGGAACTTGGTAGTCAGCCTCCAGAGGAGGAAGTGGCCAAATAAGGGAATAGGCCTTGGATGCTAGCTTTAGGAATGTAGTCTGGCAGTTTTTAGCAGGCAGAGGGAATACAGAAGAAGGGCAAGTCTGCCAGAGCCATGTTTGCCACTCAAGCTGAGCAAAGTGGAAGATAAAGGTAGGAGCATCTCCAAACATTTGAGGCCACTCTGGTCTGTGTAGTGAGTTTTAGGCCAGATTGGGCTGCAAGGTGAGACCTTGTTTCAAACAAACAAACAAACAAACAAACAAACAAACAACAAACAAAAATAAAACAAAAATAAAAAAAATCCAAACCTGAGAATTTTTCAGCTGATTTTTCTGAGGGTCTAGCCTCATCTGATCTTTCTGCCTCAGAAAGAGCCCAAGGCTTGGCATTGTCCCCTCAGGGCTGAGCAGGGTTGCTGGTAACTGGTGGAGTTCATTGTATGCTAGGGCTTTCTCATGGAAGAGGGAGGACGGTTGGTTCCTCTGTGTAATTACCCAAAGGTCACTTATCTGGAACGCAGCCTTAAGCATCTTATCAAGTTCTCACCTGCTGCCAGTGCATGCATTAACTCATTTATCACTTATTATTCACTCCTTTAATCACTCATTCACCCATTCATTCATTCACTCACTTGTTCACTCATCCACTCACTGCTGTTTGCCCATGAACTTTTCTGCGACCAGGGAGAAAGATGTACCAGAGAAGCCAGGTCCCAAGAGGGTATAGGCTGTCTCAGGGATGAGCCACTGACGTCTTCCTCAGCCCTCAACCCTCCTGAGGCCTCCTCTGGGGGCCTGGGCCAGAGAGGGCAAAACCTGTTCCAGTCTCCCTGTGGCCCAGAGCTGCTCCAGGAGCGCTACGCCTGGGACATCAGGGGACTGTCTTG